TTGAAGAGAGATACTAGTAAGAGATAATAAGAAGAAATTTTCTGTAGAGAGATACTAGTAACATAATAAGGAAAAAAATTTTACATGACAGATAATAAAAAGAAATTTATTGAAGAGGGGTCTTGGTGAGAAATAATCCCTCCTGTCCTATTTATAAGCTTTAAATCTAAAAAGAGGTGTGCTCTATTTTATAAGTTTCAATGTGGGTTTGTCTTAATATTTAATGTATTTTTCTAATGTTGTGTTTAATTATTTTTCTCTTATTATATTTTCCCACACATTCTCTTTTATCTTTTTTCTCATTTATTATAAGAGCATATTTAAAAAAAAGTGTATTTTTATCATATTTATTATTTTTAACTAATTTTAATAAGGTTAAAAGACAATTTACAAATAAGGATATAATTTAAAAAATATGTATATATCTTACGCATTTAAAATATTATATATTTCTACTTATCAAATTTTTAGTTTTTATGCTGGCAAAAAAGTAGCTTTAATAATTAATTAGTTTAAAAGTAATTATTTTTATTTTAGTATAAAAATATATTTATTTAGTAAATTACTATATAAAGGAATATATTAAAAATTTAGAAATTATTAAAATATTTAGCTGAATATTTTGTGAATGTGTGCACGGTGAATGGAGGGCGGCTGAAGGTAGAGTCGAAAAAACAGGCTGAGCTCGTCGAGCCAGCCCGTTTAGGTCCTGAAATTATGAGGACCGGACTTGATATTTTTTCATTTAAATGGGAAATAAGCCCTGGAAGGCTCGCCCTGGAGGGCTGAAGGCTTAAAAGGGCCGGCCCTGGAGGGGTGCGGGCCGGCCCGTTTACCCTTTTATAATTTTTTTTGTTTTTAAATTTTGTATATAATTCTAATGTTATTAATTTTTTACATTGTTAATAATATTTCAAATATTTAGTTATTATTATCATTTTAAGATTAAATTTAGTTTTAGACAACAATTTATCCAATTAAATTTTTAAAAAATGGGTTAATTTTGGACTTTAATAATGATTTGATTTATATTATATGCATTGATATTTTTAAACTACATATATATTTAATAATAGAGTATTTTTATACTTATATAACATGTGATTTTATAATTTGAATTAGAAATTCATGAGTTTCAATAACAATGTTTCTCACATTAAACTAAAATAATAACTAGATTGTAAAATTTAAAAGTAAAATTCCTATAAAGAAGAAAAACTTGATATTTTTGTTACGAAAGAAAAGCACACTTATAAAGAAGAGTAATTAATTATAGTGATGATGAAATTTCAAAAGATTAATGATAGTGTTTATTTATTACACAATTGCACTATAGATAAAAACTTTTGGATGTTGTTATCTTATTAATGAATGTTTTAGATATTCTTGGATGTTGATGAATATTTATATATGATGATATTTTATATTTTTAACTTAATTTTATTCATATTTATGTCTTTTATTAATAATTTTATTGGTTTATTTTTATTTTTTATAAAAATATGATAAATATAAAAAATAGTATTTTTTTTAAACCGGTCAAAAGCCCCCGGGCCGGTCCTGAGCCCTGTAGCTTAAAGGCCGAGCCTAATGAATTGGGATATTTTTAAAATTTCAGTCCTGCAGGGCCGGTCCTTTTAAACCCACCAACTCTGAAGGGCAGGTCCTGACTCCTACCTCTAGCTAAAGGGGAGTATGAACAGCAGTGGGACCAAGAAAAAGTGACGTGGGGATTTGTAACGAGAGAATGGGATGGAGTAGGTGACAGGCTAGCCTCCTATCTACTTTATAAAAAAATATTTAATAAACAATTAGGATGCAAAACTCAAGTTTGGGAAGAACGAGTTGTGTGTTAAGTTAAACTCGAGCTAGACTCTTATTGCACGAACCCAGGCTTGCCTATCTTGGGGCAACCAGAACCCGCTACAGTAACGATCGGGGATGTATTTGCAGCCCATCTGGAAACCACCACCTCTAGATATGGTGAAGATTAACGTGGATGGTTCTCGTCACTTAGATTCTAGCCTTTGCACCTGTGGGGGCGTCTTCCGTGACCATAATGGCACTTTTATGAAAGGTTTCATGTATAAGGTTGGTCGGGGATTAATCATCACAGCGGAGGCTTGGGGTCTTTTGTGGGCTCTGAAGCTTGCATGGGACAGCAACTTGCGTCACTTGATCGTTGAGTGTGACTGCACTGAGCTAGTATCCCTTGTTCATTCTCATATTCCCTCAGAACACCCGGACCACAGCGTCCTGACTGAAATCCAACAGATGATGGGTCGAAACTGGGAGGTTGAAGTGGCTGTTTGTTCGCGAGACGCGAACACGGTAGCAGATGCTTTGGCGGCACAAGCACGCCATATGGGGGTTGATTTTGCTACGTTTTGTAGTCCCCCTGATCCCATACGAGACATTCTTCAGCGAGAAGCTATCCAGGGTCAGGCTTTAGTGGGTGCTGATATGTAGTAGTTCTTTTTCCTTTTCCATCAAAAAAAAAAAAAGTTAAACTCGAGCTTGTGAAGAATGATTTTGACTGTAGTATTTCAGTAAATAGTTTTGAACATGTAGTACTTGGTATTATTTTTTTTACTGTTTGCAGCATTTTTGTGAACAGGGATGGTTATGCAACATTATGTTTATATATGAACTTTGAGGATTGAAACCGAGGGAAAATGACGAAAAAGTCAGGTCTGGGAAGATACCTACTATTTTGGACGCTGACTTAAGCATGAGAGAAGTCTTTGAATGTCTACTTTTCGTGATGTTGAATTAGCTTACAAATATCTTGTTCTTCAAGCAGGTCTATATATTTTAGCCAGTTTCTTGTTTTTAATTGTTGTATCATCTCTTTAGGTTGGAAATATAATAATTTTTTTGATATAATTTAAAATATCTTTAAGTCACTTTGGACTCGAAACTAATTTCTAACAAGCTATGAGCATTAAAGTTAAAACCTTTCCAATAAATATGTTTTTCATAATTCAAACTTGTGTTCTTGTTTTTACGAAGTGAGACTACTTACCATCTTAATCAAACAGCTTTTTGGTTAATATATAATAATTCATTACTTGCACATAGTTTATTTTATACACGTTTTTTGGACCCTATTGAACAAATGCATTCAAATATATTAATTTGCAGCCAAATTAGATATGAATGTAGTGTCGGTATATTATGCGCATGATACATAGCATAAGAGAAAGGCCAATTAGTATTATTCAATTCTCTCTTGACCAAAGCCACTTGCACGGCTTATATAGTGCTTCCAGCACTGCTAGTTGCATAAGTTCTTTGTGGCTTCTTTTTCCCTCTTGATGAAAACTATAGTGTTTCCAGCACTGCTATTTTAACACCCATTTTAGCAAGCCCAACAAGTTATTTGTTTATTCATAAATTTCCAGAAATCTTAACTTCCAATTATACCCCCATATAAACTAGAATTATGAAATTGAAAAAGTCATATTATTCTAATTTTTTTTCCTAGAGCGCGCAACTCTCCTCTTGAACAAAATAATTACTCTTACTTTTACATTATTGCTCAACTTTTTCACCTTCCTTTTATCCCTAAATATAAGTTCTGTTACAAATTTTAATTCTTATTAATTACTTGTTTTTAAAAAACTCTTTCTAGGAATAATTAATCTATTTGTAAATATGTGGTTGAGATTTAAAATATTGTGACATTCAATAGCGGACAAAAATCAAAAAAGAAAAAAAAAACTCAACGTTTACATAATTCATAGATTTTAGTACCTCCTGAATGTGCATTTTTAAATATTACGACTTATATTTAGCCATCGAAAAATTTTTATATGTTAAAAAAGTTCATCTTGCAAGTGAGGAAATGTAATTATTTTCTTTGAAACAAGAGAGAGGCAATCAATAATATTTAATATCTCGCTGGCAATATATATATTTAATATTTGATTATTGATTAAGATGGTAAGTAGTCTCACTTCGTAAGAAGGAGAACACAAGCTTGAATTCTAAAAAACACACTTATTAGAAGGGTTTTAACCTTAATGCTCATAACCTAATAGAAATTAATTTCAAGTCTAAAGTGACTTGAGGATATTTTGAATTGCATAAAAATTTTTTATCATATTTCTATCCTAAAGAGATGATATGACAGTTAAAAACAAGAAACTGGCTAAAATATATAGACTTGCTTGAAGAACAAGATATTTGTAGCTAGCAACCCCATTCAACATCCTGGAAAGCAGATATTCAAAGACTTCTCTCGTGCTTAAGTCAGCTTGGAAAATAGTGGGTATCTTCCCAGATTGGACTTTTTTGCCATTTTCCCTCAGTTTCAAGTCAACTTGGAAAATAGTGGGTATCTTCCGAGCTAGGTCTGACTTTTTTGTCATTTTCCCTCAGTTTCAACCCCCAAAATTCATATATAAATATAACGTTGCATAACCATCCCTGTTCACAAAACTACAGACAGAAACCAAACCTAATTCAGTAGTAGGCAGATACACTCTTCTGTTTGAAGATGGGATTGCATACAAAAATTTGGCACAACGTTGCAGGGCCTACATGCAGTTGATACGAGACATACGGTGGTTCGCTTACTGTACGACCATCTGATTTAGCAACGATGCAAGCCATTCTTGGACGCAGAAACTATGAAACCTGGATATAGGTTTTTGGACACAATTGATAAAGCTATACGAGGGTGTAAGGTTGAGGTTGATGTCTTTTCTATTGTGACTCTTATTTCTGTCTCTATGAGCTCTCACTCCCCGTGGAATCAAAGAAACAAATCATTCCCATTTTCTATGACGTGAAGCCGTCACAGCTTCATGTTGAGGACAGTGCAATTTTGAGCTGTTCCCGAAAAGATTTCAAGAGGTTTAATTTGGCAATTGATGAAGAGGCTAAGTCCATTGTGGCGCTACCGTTCGACTCCTCCAAAGAGTGTATTGTATCTGCTTTATGTCTCTTTTAGTTTTAGTTTTAGTGATGTCTCTTTAATTTCCCCTGTCCAATTATCAATCACTTTCAATCTTGAAGCTGAGGCCCATGAATTTCCATTGGAGGGAGTCGAAGGGCAGCCCCACAATGGATTTAGCTTCTTCAGTTGCCAAATTAAACCTCTTGAGATCTTTTTGGGAACAGCCCCAAATTGCACTGTCCTTAACACGAAGCTGTGACGGCTTCACATCATAGAAAATGGGAACGATTCGTTTCTTCGATTCCACGAGGAGTGAGAGCTCATGGAGACAGAAATAAGAGTCACAATAGCGAGGCGAAAAGACAGCAACCCCAACCTTACATCCTCGTATAGCTTTATCAATTGTGTCCAACAACCTATCTCCAGGTTTCATAGTTTCTATGTCCAAGAATGGCTTGCATCGTTGCTGAATCAGATGGTCGTACAGTAAGCGAACCCCTGTACATCTCGTATCAACTGTACGGTGATTTATGAACACGTCACATGCAGGCCCTGCAACGTTGTGCCAAATTTTTGCATGCAATCCCATCTTCAAACAGAAGAGTGTGTCTGCCTACTACTGAATTAGGTTTGGTTTCTGTCTGTAGTTTGGTGAACAGGGATGGTTATGCAACGTTATATTTATATATAAATTTTGAGGGTTGAAACTGAGGGAAAATGACGAAAAAGTCAGATCTGGGAAGATACCCACTATTTTCCAAGCTGACTTAAGCACAAGAGAAGTCTTTGAATATCTGCTTTTCGTGATGTTGAATGGGCTTGCTAGCTACAAATATCTTGTTCTTCAAGAAGGTCTATATATTTTAGCCAGTTTCTTGTTTTTAACTGTTGTATCATCTCTTTAGGGTTGGAAATATAATAATTTTTTTTATGCAACTTAAAATATCCTCAAGTGACTTTAGACTTGAAACTAATTTCTATTAGGCTATGAGTATTAAGGTTAAAACATTTCTAATAAGTGTGTTTTTTAGAATTCAAACTTGTGTTCTCCTTCTTATGAAGTGAGACTACTTACCATTTTAATCAATAATCAGATATTAAATATATATATTGCCAGCGAGATATTAAATATTATTGATTGCCTCTCTCTTGTTTCAAAGAAAATAATTACATTTCCTCACTTACAAGATGAACTTTTTTAACATGTAAAGGCTAAATATAAGTCCTAATATTTAAAAATGCACACTCAGGAGGTACTAAAATCTATGAATTATGTAGACGTTGAGTTTTTTTTTTCTCTTTTCATTTGTGTCCTCTATTGAATGTCACAATATTTTAAATCTCAACTACATATTTACAAATAGATTAATTATTCCTAGAAAGAGATTTTTTTTAAAACAAGTAATTAATTATATAAAAATTTGTAACAGAACTTACATTTAGGGATAAAAGGAAGGTGAAAACGTTGACTGAGAGTAATTATTTTTGTTCAAGGGGAGAGTTGCGCGCTCTAGAAAAAAAAAGAATAATATGACTTTTTCAATTTCATAATTCTAGTTTATATGGGGATATAATTGGAAGTTAAGATTTCTGGAAATTTATGAATAAACAAATAACTTGTTGGGCTTACTATAATGGATGTTAAAATAGCAGTGCTGGAAGCACTATGTAAGCCGTGCAAATGACTTTGGTCAAGAGAGAATTGAATTATACTAATTGGCCTTTTCTATTATGTTATGTATCATGCGCATAATATACAGCAGCGGCTGACACATAGGTTGACGTATGCCGGTGTGGGAACCGTACTGTAGGCTTGGTTCCATGTACTAAATTAATTAGAGCCGTATGCAGCACCGGCTGACCCGTCTCGCTTTTCACGTGTATTTTTTAATTCTTTAAAATGGATCTTATTTTTTAAATATTAATATTTAATAATATTTATCTATAAATTTATATTTTTTAAAAAGTGACTATTTGTGATTGAAAAATTTAAAATAATAAATATAAATAATTTGATATAAATATTTTTTTATATACTACGTTTAATCTTTAACAATGAAACTTGTTCACAATTAGGTGGCGAGAGATAGAGAGAGGGAGGGAAAAAAAAAGAGTTCGTTACGTTGGTAACACCTCTCTTTATATATATTACTTTCTGTTTTTAACAGAGGAGCCGATTAAAAATTATATTAATTTTAAATATAAAATCTTAATTTATTTTATCTTTTAAATTTATAATTCATTCACTAAACTATCCTTATTGATTACACAATATTAAGAGGGTTTCCATCCAAATGCAATCATAATTAAAAGAATAGTTTAGAAAATTCAACTCAAATTTATTACAAATAACTAACTTAAAAACTTTTTCAATCAACCTAAATTAGCCAACTAATTTTTATATTAAAGACCTGAGGTCGTATTATGTATTGACTTATTTTTCTTTGGAGGAGAGAAATATGTGCATTAATTAACTATTAAGTTTACAAATAACTCACTCTAACTTTTTTTTTTTGGGGGTCAGAAGAAGTATTCATTCATTCAAAGCAAACAAGATTAAACTGCAAATAAACTCACTCTAATTAGATCATCAATATCGAATCAATATAAAATTTATAAATTTATTTTGCATGGTCTATAAGTCGGAAAAAGGGACGCGTTCCTCGCGTTATCTCATACAAATACACGGAGCCTGCCTAATTATTCGCGACACATGAATTACAATTTGTTAATACTATTTTCAGTCCTATTTATATAATCCCTTTTATAGTTTACAAACTGGATTTTATAAATAGGACCAAAAGTAGTATAATTCTTATTATAAAATTGACCTTTTAATGTTATGAAGATATACTCTTCCGATCCTAAATATAAGACTCTGATATATTCTTCTGGTTCTAAATATAAAACTCTTATATGTATTAATATAAAGGTCTTATATTTAGGAATGGTAATACCACCCACACATTGATCGCCGAAACTGTTGAGCGTCGGCGGCAAAGACTTCTTCTCCTTTTTGCTTTTTGGTGTGCCAATGAACCCTTTTTTGGAAATCACAACGCGGGTTTTAAATGCAATTCCAGTGAGGCCCAAGGTCCAAGGCGGAATTTCTCGTTCTCAAATGGGCTATGGCCCAATTTCCTTATAAATATACACTGCCAGAGCAGGCTAGTGGTGTGCGTGTGTGTGTTCCTGTAACCAAAAAAGAAAATCCACTGATATATTTTTGATGATTAAATTATCAATATACTCCTTCGATCCTTAATATAAGACTCATTTAACTAATTTGATTAGATTAAAGAAGTTAGGTAAGTTAGTTAATTATAAGAAAAGTGACACATTTTTCTCAAAATACTATAATCATCTTTCTTAATACCTCATTTCCCGCTTCTACTTGATTATGGGTGAGAGAGTATCTATAGGGGTAATTTAGAGAAAATTAATAAATATGAGAAATGGGTCTTATATTTAGGACCAAAACTAACTCAAAAATTGAGTCCTATATTAAGGATCAAAGAAGTATATAGCATAGTTGATTGCCAGGCAAGGGGCCTCCAATGCCCCTTTTAATACTCCAACCTCCCAAATATTTTTTTCCTTAATCATTAAATTCCATATAAAATCAATGACATTTTGTTACCTTACATATATATAAAAGAGTGCAGTTTTGAATTTTTTAGGATTTTAAAAATAAATCAAAACTACAGAATTTGACAATATCTTTCTTAAACAAATAGTAAAAAAATTCAAAACTATACTATGCATATATCTCAATCGTAAGGTCAATATCAAAATGTCATTCATTTTATGTAGGATCTAATGATTAATAAAAAAAGAAAAAAAATTTTTGGAAGGTTAGAACACGAGAAGAGGCCTCCAAAGCCCATTATTGGCCGATATTGGGGAAGGAGGCGCGTGAGATGCATGCAGTAGAGGAGCGTCATGCTCATATTATACGGATGCCGTTTCTGTCCGAACCTCAAACAAGTTCATAAGCACTGCCTCCGATGTATTCCTTACCAGCTCCGACCAATCCCTGAAACACCCATTTTCTCAACTTATCATTAACTAAATCACACTTTATTGTTTGGCTCATATATCCATGTGCAATCATTAAATCCTTTTACGTTATTTTATTATATATATAATATATAATATAATAACGTCTTAGTGAAGTTACTATAGCTGGTACCTTCGATTATGCCTAACTGATATCTGATAAATCTGCCATTAGTATAGTAAAAAGAACCTGTATGTATATATGCTGACCGAATTTGGACTGAGTTACTCATCGAACTAACGCCATTATTGTTTTTGTTATGCTAGCTATTTAGTAACCCCACCCACGTCTTAGAACCATAGATATAATTATGTTAGTAGAAAAGGAACTTATTGATATACCCATTTAAGGGATCGAAGGAGATTCCTCGAATAGACTTAGCCTCTTCCAATGCTGAACTAAACTTTCGGTGCTCTTCAAGAGTGAATCTTCTGGAGGGCTTAATCTGAAGCTGCGAGGGCTCGATGTCGTAGAAAACTGGGATCACTCTTTTCTTGGATTCCATGAGAAGAGCAAGCTCGTGCAGACAGAAGAAGGAATCACAGTAAGCAGGAGAGAAGACAGTGACACCAACCTTACACTCACCTATGGCCTTGTCTATATGATCCACCAACCTGTTTCCTGGTTTCATGTTCTCTGTGTCTAAGAAGGCTCTCACTCTCACCAACCTCAGATTCTCGTACAGCAACCCTACGATGGTTCTTGCCGTGTCAATCTTCCTGTGGCTCAAGAACACGTCGCAGGCTGTTCGCGCAATCCCAGGGCACTGTTTGGCTAGTAACAATGATTTCTGCATGGCTGCTGGACTGGCCATTATTGCCCGGTTTCGGTTTTTCTGGTTAACTTTGTGGGTTCTCTGCTTCTCTGTTTCTGGTTTGCTAGTGGCGTGAATTTATACCTGTTTAAGGTTTTCTAATCGACGTAAAAGAAACGTATATTTTGTTTCTTTCTTAAGGGAAACTTTCGTCAATGTAAATGTTGATGAATGACTGACTGTATTGAATAAATTCTACGCATATGGTAGAAACAGATTTTGGTTAATTAGTCTAATGATCGGCGATCGCTATGTGGGGTTCACACTGCTGATCCTTGGGACACTTTCATTCTCATCAAATATTCTGCCGGCCGTCGTGAAGGTCAAAAGGTTGGCTTTGTTCGCCACAATTATGGCCATAAATCATTAACTACATCGATTATGTTCACTTTAGGATCTCGAAAATTGTTTTGTTTGTGTATATATAAGTATTATATATCTGCTTTTGAAACGTAATTAAGTGGGGTCCATTAGTTTTCTTTTTGTGCATGTGTCTTGGACTTTGTGGGGAACCGAACTAGATTTGTTTACATGTTTGTTATGCTACAATTTCAGAGGAAGATGGAGACTTAATACCATTTTCTTCTGATGTTACGTACGTTCTAAGCATTTTATATTTTAAAACATTGTCCCTCGAATCTCAGAAGACTCGTTCTTAGAAATGAATGTCAAATTTTCATTAAAATCTATACAGTCTTTTGAAATCGAAGTGTCCAAAATTTTCTTTTTTATTTTGATGCAAGTAAAGCATAACGTAAAGATTATGTTTAAACAACAAAATTACATATTTAACAATCTAATATCTGGGCACAATCATACTTTAAATTAAAAAAAAATCATGTTCAACTTGAAAATTGAAAAATAGGAGGAAAAAAAAACTTGACGGTGAGATTAAGTATGGTTCAAGACTCATTTTTAAGGATGAATAATAAATCTAAATCCTTATATTTTTCTTTCCCCACTCACTCGTTGAGACTTGAAAAGAAAATATCAAGTAAACAGTAATTCTTAGAGTTTTGCATGAATTGATATGAAAGCCAGAGTCATCACAAAGGCTAAACCAAACGACTTTAATTAAGCTAGATTCAGCTTCTTATTTAATTTCCTATATATATATATATATATATATATTCATTAGGTTGTTCTAACTTTCATGTTGCTTTTTCTTGCATTCAATTTCTTTTTTAAAGCATTCCTGAATACTTATAGTCTAAACATGATAGATTAATATAAAGCTTTATTTAATTATAGTCGGTTGGATGAATGACTGTCCAATTGAAATAAAGTTAATACACGAGGACAAAGTCATTAAACCTAACCTCCGTCAACATAACCGCGTTTAGAATGTAATAAAAAAATATAACCCCATTTCATTAATTAGTATTGAAAAAGAAGAAAAGGCATAATATTTTTATGTTATATGTAGTGACTTTTGCGTGTGGGATATATGTTTGTTATATACTACTTTCGATCCTTAATATAAGACCCTGTTTGACTTTTATTTTGGTCCTAAATATAAGACCCCAATCCACTTTGTCTCTCATCTTTATACATTTTTTTCCAAAGTAACCCTTATAACAACAATAGTTCTAGTCAATACACTTGATTAGTAAGGATATTTTAGAAAAGACAACACCTATTTAGGGCACATAACTAACTCAACTTACTTTCTTAATCTCCTCAAATTAGTCAACTGGCTCTTATAATTAGGACCCGAGGTAGTACATTAACTTGATTTTTATGAAGTAAATCATACCAAATGATGCCACACGTTATATATGCATGTAATTTTATATATTAATTGATCAATTTATAACAGATTGCTCATACTTAACTTCATGATAGAGAATAATTCAAAGACTTGTATGCGTTATGATAAACTTTTTATTGATCGATGAATATATAATGTTATGAACGACACGCTAGCAAAACGTTCAATTACAACTTTGAGTGAGTTGTAGCAAAATTCAAATTTTATAACCAAGATGGGAGTATGATATAGTCGTGATCTGTGTTTTGGATCCAAATCTGCTTCATATTATTGTACAATATCAATCTACAGTTTTAGTATGGTGGGATTTAAATTTCAAAATTTTCTTTGAAAAGCTGTCTTCTGAGCTAGAGAATTAAGAGTCTAATTGTACAGTATTTTGTATTCTTATTGCTCAAGCATCTCCTCTAGTACTCAACGATAAGTATATCCTACGACAGCTGCGTAATTTGTAACTAACATGTAAACAATACTGTTTTTGATCTTTAATATAAGAGCTAAATAATTAATTTGTTAATATTACAAAATTATTAACTAAGTTAATTATTTGTAACAAATTAAATGAGTCTTGGTTTTCTTAAACCATCTTTTTAAATCATGTGTGTTGGAATTGTTCTTTGACTGAGAGCTGCCTTGATACGTGCAATTGATATAGATAATTTGAGAAAAAATTATAAATTTGATAAACAAAGTAGATTGAGATATTATATTAATAATCAAAATGAACCTCTTATCTGGTTCATATATTTTGGACAAAAGGTAATAAGGTTATAAATTATATATCGGGTTTTGCTAGATTCTGACACAGGATTTTGTGTTCTTAGTGCGCAAAGAATGATGAGTGTGCCATATGAACTGTCAAGTTTGATAAACGAACTTTTTGTGTGTGTGGCTAAATGCATGTATCTTTCTATCAGAGATAATCTTATTCAAAACACTATTGGGTATTGCGTATAGCACTATAAATGAACAAACTTGTTGATAGCTAGCTAACAAGGGTTGGTTTAGTTAATAAGGAGCCGGTTTATATATAACTCATAAAGTTGTGAGTTCAAATTCCGCTACCGATGTGAGGATGTTATTGGTGAGTGATCTTTAAATATTTCTACAAGTATTTTCTAAGTTTAAAGGCATGTCTTGACCTTAATGAGTTTTTTAGGCTCCCTTACTAAAACTTTTTTGCAGCGAAAAAATAAATTGTTAATAGCGAGCGTATGAATTTTGCACACATGTTTGGGTGTGGTCACATTTTCATGATATTTCTGGACCAAAAACATTGTGAAATTTCTTACTTAAGCCCGTCAAACTGTATGATGAGTGCATGAGGGAGCTTGTCATTTACCAGTGGGCCCAGGCCCAATTATAAAATCATGTTCACTCGTCCCACCTCCAACTACAAGCTTGTGATGTTTGTTTTTGAGTATGTTGATTTATGGGGGAAAAAAAAAGACAAAAAAAATCAACCTTAAAAACATTTTTTGTTGGGGGTATGTTGGTATATTGGAATAAAAAGACCAAATTGGTGAAATTACTTGTTAGTCCTCTATACTTATTCGTTTTGTTTTTTGATTTTATACAATTCAAATACATGCATACACACAAATATGTTAAAATTGAACTTAAATTAAAGATCTCATCTGAGTATGGTTGGTGGTGTTATTGCTGGGGCAATTAATAGTTGACAATCCAAAACCAAAAATATATTTTCTTCCCAAAACTATGATTTGGATTGAAACCCACTAGTGATGTAGCTTTTTAAAGTGATTAATTTTCTCAAAATCTATTTTCCAAAAGCTAATACAAACACCCGAGTGCTCTAATATAAATCGATCTATATATGCCACCAAGAAAGAATACTCTTGGTATCTTAGGGGTTTAAAGCAAAAAAAAAGCTACACAAACACGGTGTATAAATATGCCCAGGAGGGAGGTGAAATGAACGTGGGATATTTGTCAAAAAAAGGAGAGTGGCTACAATAATTGAAAGGCATCAACTATCATGTTGTGGGGTTGATTGCGAAATGTTTGGCATGTTGTTACATAGAAGGGAATATCTGAAAAACTATTAATATGGTGTGAACAACTCATTCATAACCCCACAACAAATGCAACTACATATTTTATTATATCATATGTAGGTATATAAATAACAACAAGTTCTCTTTTTCCAGCTCAGAGTTATTATTTAGCCTTACAGCTGTTTCGCAGTTGGCATCAGATCCATTTCCACACATATTTTTCTCTCTAAATTATAACAACAGAATTACATTTAAAGTATTTTTATAAGTTATTACAGTTACATTTATTGGTATACATGAGGTGTAAAGCCTCGCTAGATTTCCTTGTCTCCCAAATTCAAATCTCACACGACACTTATGCTGGGAGGACTTATCTGGCACATTAAATAAAAGATTTTTTTTTCCTTTTTACGGGAAAAATTATTCTTACCGCTGAAAGATGTTGGTGTACATGAAAGGTGAAAATATAAATAAAATATTTGTGAAAACTTGAACAGACTATTTTGGCCCAAAGAAGTTATATTCGCTAACATTTCAGTAAACTCCATGTCGGTCTACTTTTGACTCATCTTTCATAAATCACAATTAGGATAAAAGCGATTTACTAACTCCATTCCTCTTTTCTGTATATACACCGACAGTACAAGCGCAATTAAGGTTTATTTAAATTTAAATCGATACATTAACTAAAATAATATTTAGTGGGACCCTAATATATATATTCTTTCAGTCCTAAATATAAGACCCTTATACACACGTGTATAAGGGTCTTATATTTAAAACCGAAGGAGTATAAGACCTATTTTGTATTACATTAAAAAATAGATCTTATATTTAGGATCGAAAAAGTATATATATATTGAGTTGAGTAAAAGCATCTGGATTTTTCTTAAATAAAGTTGAGGGCGCGAATTTTGTAAATAAAAAAATTATGATAAAAACTCTTCTCAATTGGTCGAGCTTGGAGTTGAATAAATGGATGAAAAAAATGGTTAGCTTTTTATTTTCATGCATAACAGACATATATTCAAAATGCTAATTCAGCGGGAAGATCCGAAGATGTACAATATACTAATTAAAATTTTCAGAATGATTATGATTATATATATAGAGAGACACATATATCGTCACTTTAAAATTTCAATAGACCGCTTGTACTGTTTTATGCTTTATTAATACCCTAATACAATCTAATGATATATTTAAAGAGTATTTATGGAAAAGGATCTTTTAATGAAATATTCTTAAAATTATTATAATTTAAGTTATTTAATTTTTTAGGCTGTAGAAAAATCTCAAAGAAACAATTATTTTAAAATAAAGGGTGATTCATAATTAACATAATTGTAGGCTTTAATATAACATCTAATCTGTAGTTAAAAGTTAATTTGAATTGCAAATTAAATATTATCTTTTGTTCTAAATATAAGAGTTATTTGACTAATTTAATTATATTAAAAAAATTAGTTAAACTAGTTATTCATAACAAATATAACTTTATCTTTCTAAAATATTTTTTTTAGCCATGACTATTTATAAATAGAAACTTCTTTAATATATATAATTAATAAAAATACTTTAACAAATAAATTGATATTTTATATTTAAAACTAAATCAGATTATAACGACTTATTTATTGTATTAAACATGGAAGGTAATCCCCCAAATATAAATGAAAATTTTGAGCACCAACGAATTTGCCAGGTTTTGAAGGACAGCGAAGGTTGGAAAGGCAATCAATTATAATTAAATCAAAGATAAGTAATTTATGAGAATTTATACGAATAAAATTAAAATCGGATATATTATCCGCAGACCACAAGTCACCATGAAAGCAACATAAGAAACAATCACCCTGAAAACCTCACAAGTCACAACACAGCCTCCTTTTTTGGAAGACATGTGAATATGTGATAAGCCTTCCAACCAACCAAAAAAAAGAAAAAAAGAAAAAAGAAAAGCTTCTATAAGCTTTTTTTGATTTTTTCCAAAGTACACTCTGTGGAGTTTAGATTTTAGAAGCCTAAAAACTTGTGGTCCCCGGGTTAAAAGCTAACCATGAACCGCCAAGTATGAGTTCAGATATTTTTTATTTTTTTACTTACTATAATTTATTTTTATGCAAATAATTAAAACAAGTATTAAGTGCATGGTTCCAGAGAGTGAGAAGAAAGAGTATTATTATTTTGGGAAAAAACTCATCTTCAACAAGATTTTTATATTTATTATCTCAATTTTTTAATTATATACGGTCATATTTTTTTGTTTACTGTAAATTTATAATTATTACGTCAAGTTTTTTAATTTTACATGGATATATTTTTTTGATGTAAATTTATAACTAAATTTCACGAGAAGAAAGCACGCAATAATTAGACCCTTTTTCACCTACCTCATCAAAGACCAAAAACCCAAAGTGCTTCTCTGATCTTGCTTTCTCTCTCTAATCCCAGTAAAATCCCTCATACTCATGACCGGAGGAGTTAGATCTAGCTATGATAATAATTATACTTTACTATATTGCATGTGGAATCCTATAATGTCCGAATTTACACTCCAAGGTGACCAAAGCTGCATCTAAGCATCTTCCTGCTGGCTCTCTCTCTCTCTCTCTATAGTCTATACTCTCACCGTCCCATGGCCAGCTTAGACCCAATGCGATGATGGCCACGTTCCGCAACTTCACAGCTTGCACTACCCAACACTCAAACTAAAAGCTTTTCTTAATGTTCACGGACAATAAGTGAGCATTCCTTATTGTGCAGTGAAGATTATGCTCTGACACTCTGCTGACCCTCATGGATTCCAAGGCCGTTCTCGATTATGCTCTGTTTCAACTCACCCCAACAAGAACTAGGTGGGTTTTCACGCTGGTTTTCTCCTTGGACACCTAAATTTGTGTTTACTGTATCGCCTTGTTCTCCATTTCATTCTATTGTGTGTCTGTTTGTAGATGTGAGCTGGTCGTGTTTTCTGGGGGTGCTCATGAGAAAATAGCTTCTGGTTTGTTCGATCCTTTTGTTTCTCACTTGAAATTCGCAAAAGATGAGATCTCCAAGGGTGGATACTCAATTAAGCTTCTCCCACCCACCCTCCCTGCACTTTGGTTCTCCAAAGCCACATTTGAGAGGTGATTGTCTCATGATATGGAACTTTACTTGGCAGTTTTGATGTCTCTTAATGATGGGGTTTGAACATAATTCATCGTTTGTTCTTCAAGTAGTTTCTACCATGGTACTCATTAATGCTCGCATAAATAATGGATTTTTCACTCAAATAGCGAAAACCTGCAATTTCTTTCTGTGTAATAGGATTGAATCTAGCAATGGGATGCCCACTAACTTCTCGATTAAATGTCTCAATGTGTGTGATAACTCTTATTTGAGAATTAGCCCTCACGTTAAAAACTTGTGGTGCTGGGAATTTTCTCAGTATTTACAATTCAGTAGTCTCGAATCAGTGGGTTCAATGACTGGAATGCAGATCTCGATTAATAACTTTTTATGATGTGGATCATCGAATTAATTTATTTGGTTTTGTGGGCTTATAGAACACAAGTTTATTGGATCAACGATTTTTGTAGGCTGGAGGCCTAGAAAATGGATAAGACTTGAGAGGACTAAGATACAGTAGGATACTCGAAAAGGTGCGGACAAAGAAAGGAAGCTGTAGGATTTGCTTAGAATTTAGGATCTTCTGCATTTTTCCCTGCGCAAGCCTCTCTGCTCCTCTAAGTAGCATTTGTATAGATCCAACGTGCAGATTCGTTGGGCTAATTTTGCTTCTTTCATTTTTGTTTTTCTGGTTATCAGCTTCCCTCTTCTCATTCTTCTTCTCCTGTTATTGGTTTGGGTTGGGTTGGGGGCGATTGATTTTTACAGATTTGTGCGCTTTGTCAGCACACCGGCTATCTTGGAGAGATTTGGCAGCATTGAGAAGGAGATCATGCAGACTGAAAGCTCATATGACGCTAACAAGTTATCAATGTCTAATGTAACTTTCGATGAAGGTATGGTCAAGAACTGCCACTTAAACATGCTTGTGGATTTTTCTTTAGTCATTAGGTTATAGGTATTCTGTTGTAATCGACATCTGTATAATCAATGTGGATATAAAATATGAAATTTATAATAAGCTGATGCACTATTCAATAATCGTGAACAGTATGATTTATTCCTTAATCTTTGTACAGTTTATGTGGGCTCACCTAATAAGTTAAACGATCATGCATGTTGGTTAGTTACAGCACTTAAGGCACTAACAAAAGGGAAAGCAAGTCAAAGATTAGACAATCACTTTATTCTTGTGGTTACGCTTCAGCTAATGAAATTACAGGAAACCCTTCTTATTCTGTATATTGGTTTCCTTCACAGTAAATTCAAGTTTAAATCTTCTTTTCAATGAAATATTTGCTTGTTTTTAAAGAAAATTATGAAAAAATAGCCATTGAATACTAATTTTTTTATATTTTTGTTATGAAATGGTTGATGTACACATCGCTTGCAATTTTATTTATGATTCCCCCTCGTTTCTCTGTTCTGTGTAACTCCCTGCATTTTCTGGAGAAGTGACAGTGTAAATAATATTCTATACACTTTCTTCACTTAATTAATCACCATTTTAGTCATTTTCTACTGATTTCTGTGGTGTACCAGGAATCGTGTCACAATCCAGTGGCAATGCCAGTAGGTTAAGTGATTCTTCAAAGGTATTGTCTCTAATAAAATCACTCAAATTTACCTTAAACTTCTCCCAGTCAATTAATTTATGCTCTGTGTTTGTATCAGCTAAATGGTGAACTTGAAGGTTGTGAAAACAAAGAAGAGGAAAACTCAAAGTATCTTCTTATCTTTATATCTAATTGCTGCCAATTAAATTATCTCAATTTGCTTGCAAGTTCATCAACGGTTAGGACTAACACATTCAGTTTCCATAATGATAAGGATGTCTCTACAGCGTCTGTTAGAGTCTCGATTGGCACTGCTCCGGAAAGAGCAAGCAATGGCTTATGCACGTGGCCTTGTTGCTGGATTTGAAATTGATAATATTGATGATCTCATATGCTTTGCAAATGCATTTGGAGCATCCCGTTTAAGGTGAGAACTGGATATATTTAAGTTATAAGCGATTACTTGTAAACCATAAAGTGTAATATTGTCATCCCGCATATTGAGTTTGAAAGATTACATGTATATCGGACAGAATTTTTCATACCATGGAACTGCTTCCTCTAATTAAGATATGCTACATCACCTAAAACTCATCCAGCATCTATGGCAAATCTTTCCCCTAATTGGCATAAACCTTCAGTTCAGTTTCTAAGGTTGAATCTAAATCTAAGGATGTATTATGTATAGGGAAGCGTGTATTGGTTTTAAGGAATTATGGAAGAAAAAGCATGGGGATGATCTTTGGATAAAGGAAGTCGCTGCCATGCAGTCATGCTTACCACCAGCACTCTCGTTTTCTGGAGCATCAGGAATTATTCTAGCCAATGAAGTTCCTACCCCTGATCAGAACAAGATTGATAATTCCAAGGAAAGTCTTTCTTCTAGTGATGACACATCAAACTCTTCCGCGTCAAACAGAAAAGAAGGTATTATTTTGTTCTTTTTTGAATTTCCCAAGCTTAGTCACATCACGTAAATTGTATAGGGACTTCAGTTATCTTAGGTGAATCTCACTATTTAACATCTTTATGGTTTCTTATTGTATTTATTTTATTTGTCACTCAGTTGTGTACTGCAGTCTGATTCAGTTCCTAAAAACTTCTTCATTATGTTTTCATGATGCACTCTTTGTTGTCTATTTTTCCTCTTATTCACCCTTTCGCAATGCAGTGCAGTGCAGTGCAGAAAAAGATTGAATGCATATAATGCTGCTTGGCATTGGATATGCCGCCTAAGTCAGAACATTTTTACAAACCTTAATTTTGCGTAATGGAAATGAATTATGGAGATCCGTGTTTATTTCCAGTAATCACACTGTCGTTTTCTCACAAATTTAAAGAAACCTTAGCTTGTAACGGATGCTTTGTGCAGATGACAAATTGCCTCCTTCAGATCAGGTACCATCATATCCTGCAAATGTTCAGATGCCAATGCCATGGCCTTACAATGTACCTCCATTCATGTACAATCTTCAAAGTCCCATGCAGCAAGTGCCTCCATATCCAGGATACCCTTTGACTAATATGCAGTCCGTTCCTCCATACCTTCTAAGAAATATGCATTGGCCTTCCAACCTGGAGAATTCTAACGTTAATCTACCTAGGCAGTCTAATTCTCAGAAGAAGAAGTCTTCTGCAACTAGAAAGGAGAAATCTCTTTACAAGCAAGAATCGGAAGATTTAGAAGACCAGCAGACAGAGTCTAGTGACCCTGATTCCATGAGTGAATCAGATTCAGATGGGGAGTCAGACTCAAAGCATTCCCTGAAGGATGATTCAAAAAAGAAAAAGCACAGAAGAAGATCTGGAACTGTTGTAATTCGCAATATTAATTACATCACTCCAAATAAGAAAAATGGAAATGAGGGTAAAGCCTCGGATGAATCATCTATAGATGATGATGATGTCATTGATGAAAAAAATATTAAACAGAAGGTCAATATTGCACTTGAATCATTGCAGAAGGTTCACAAGGTTGACAAACATGCTAATAAGAAAAACGGAGTGGCCCAATCAAATGGTGCTTCTGAGCCGGAGCTACGTGAAAATATGAGCGATGCATCTGAGGGAGGGAAGACAAATGAGAACTGGGCTGCTTTCCAGAATCTTTTAAAGATAGATGAGGATACAGGCAATGATGCAGCAGAAAGGCTGCAGCCAATTGATGTTCAGGCTGATCAATTTGTGGCAAGAAATTCTGAAGATCGAATGTCATATGCTGCTGATCCGTCTCATGACTTGGAATTCAAAAAAGTTCCAAAGCAGATGAAAGTCCCAAATGACTCTTTTATTGTAACTCAGAGAGATGGAGGAAATGAAGGGGGAGCTAAGTTTGATGATTATGTAGACAGCCGTGCTCCAATTGGAAAAAGTAGGGACAACATGGGTGAGGAGATAATGTTTTCACATAGGTCTGAAGAATCTGGAAACGACATTGGTTACTCATTATCTACTTGTGTTTCTAACTCTTCAGTAAACAAGTTTACAAACGCAGAAGATTGGTTTGTTGCTGATCATTCAGAGAACACGAAGAGCCTGGAAACAGCAATTTTGCCAGCAGTGTTCGATGGTGATCGCATTTTATCATCAGTGGATTCCCATGCTGAAAAAAGAAACGGAAGCACTCCAGTTGATGATTCATTCATGATACAGGGTCAATTGGCCCATCATGATCGGCCTGATTCTCAGTGGAAGACTGACATTAGCATAGTGGCAGATCTAAATTCAGCCGGCAAGCTGGAAAATGACGCACATGTTTCACAAAGTAAACATGAATCGTTGAAGAATCAGGAGCCAAATGACCTTTGTGTGGTTCTCCAACGGGATTCTGGGTTAGGCCCTGTTGAGGCCTCTTGGACAATGGACTATGAAATTGACTTTTCATACACAGATAGAAGATCCTCTGTTGATGATTTAAACAATGAAGTGAACAAAAATCTTCCTGGCAGTCCGAAGAAAATTAACAAAAACAAAGTTCCAGCAACAAGGAATTCAGCAAGAGAAGAAAAGACTAAACCTTTGCGTGGATCCCTCGGAAGGGGCAGGCCAGAAATCTTTTCTAGGAACAAAAAGCCATCGACTATAAGCAGGCCCATCGTTCATAAGAGCAAACTGGAACAGGTAGGGTTCAATCTGCAGTTGCATTTTTGCACGTTGACATTTTACATATTGAACCTACTTTTTGGTTCGAAGCAAGTGTTCTTAACATTGATCTATAATCTATGGTGGTGATCAGGAAGAAGAAACTCGGAAAAGGATGGAGGAACTGTTGGCTGAACGCCAGAGGAGAATAGCAGAAAGAACTGCAGCTAGTGGCCTTGCTCGAGCAACATCAAAGAAAGACCAAGTTGAAAATAAAATAGCGAGGGTGTCCGCCAGAAGTGACAAGAATAGGACTCAGTCCATGAAGGAGACGAACAAGATAAGTTCTGTCAGAGTCAGAGCTGCTTAGCTAAACTATTAGTACTTCCTATCATTAAATATACTGTGTCATCATGTCATTTGTGTCAATATGAACTAGGCGCCTAATGTGGTCAAGTACCCGGTCGATTTAAGTTCAGAGATTTCATTCATTCTCGTGTATTATCATAGAACAATAAAGGTTATGCTGTGAAATAGATGTATACCACCATTGTCAACCCCCAGTCTTCTGCAATTTCATTGTTCGCTGCATCAAACCTTGCGTATCTTTGTTTTTTGGGTGCAAATATCTGTAAAATAAATGCTCCATGGTATTTGTTTTTGTGCAAATAAAGAACAAACCTGGTGTATATGTACATATATATGTGCGCGCGCGCGCGCGTGTATGGATATATGAATGCAGACATGTGCACTATACTCTTTTTGCTGTCAAACTGGAATAGTTATTGTACATTTGGATGGAGTCAATATGTTGTTTTCGCCTACGGCTTATGAATGGTATCTCGCCCCTACATTTTTTCTTTTTTTCATTCGATGTTGATTGGTTGACACTTTATGGCCGAGCAGTCTCTGGCCCAAATATGATGAGGTAGGTTTGAATGAGTGAAAAACAGAATCATTGATTATAGTTTTTAGTTGTGAATGGGGAAATTACTAACAGGAGGATTTTTTTCCCACCTTCAACGACCCATCAAGAGGTGCGTGGAAGATAATGAAAGGAGATCAGAGTATACCAAGTAACAAGTCATTTGGATGGTTGGCGGAGCACTTGGATGCGAGCATCTTGCCACCAACATATGAATCTGTGGGTAAGAAAATGATGATTGCTGGGGATAGAGGCATGGCCGGCCGATGACGAGGTTGGGGAAGAAGACGGCAGGAGCACAAGAAAATGTCTGCTTTTGGCAGATAAAAACAAAAGGGAAAACTAATCCCCAAGTCCTTATACTTTACATCAATTTTGAATTAGGTCCCCATAGATTGATTTGTTTGAATTGGGTCCTCGCACTTAGGCCCGTTAAGCACGTTGGTCCTTCAGCATTTAACACCGTTAATGTTAGGTGAAGTGGCTGAAAAATGAATGAGTTGGCTGCTGACTGTGCTGCCATTTGAATTAAAAAAATATGAGCTGTCACCCTTCCACTACTGAATAAACAAAATATCTACAAACATCGATATTGACTGGTACAAAAAATTAAAAAATGCCCGCCGCTTTGCTATAACCTCACCGCCGACATCCGGAACATCATTCCCAGGAGCAAGCATCCCTTGTATTCATCTTCTAGGATAAAACTCGGGAAATTAACAGTGTCAAAGCAATTAAAGTATAAAAGAGAAAGATAGAACCCTCGTCCGCTACTGATCTCCCCCAGCATCTCCCTTCCTCCATCAGGACCATACAATCAACACGTCCTAGATTTGCCAACATAGAAGCTGTGAGTTTGGGTTTTGATGGGTCTTGGGCTTGAAAAGAAGAATAGATATATGCAACTCTTGAATAATTTTCACTTTAAATATGTAAGGGTCATGATTTCTGAACAATGGTTGTATTGGTCGATATTTTCAATGGTGGTTTTGATGAACAGGACAAAAGAGGACAAACATGAGTACCTGAGGTCTGAGTAATAGGAAGGTGTAAAATTTACAAAAAGGGGGGGGGGGAAACATCTTGGGCTCAATACAAAAATTAAAGAACAAAAGAAATTATGGCCTTCCCCTCTGCTGTCATGAAGCTAAAAAAGACTGATTTAGTGGGTTTAAGGGAGTACTGTGCTCAATAAGAAATGTCAGTTCACTCTTACTCATGATTTTGCTATATGGCTTGGTGTATGGCTAGCCTGATTCTCCAGATTTCGTCCTAGGATCTGAACACGAGGAGCGATGCTTGTTTGGCATTCATGATCTCGGTGGCGATGTTACAGTAAAGAGTGACGACGAAGATATGGACCTTATCTTGGGCGTTCATGATATTTTTTTTTTATGCACAAGGAGGGAAACAAGTCGCGGCTTATGTGGATAAATATATTCAGCCAACTCAGCTAATATTAACGGTGTTAAGGGTTCAGGGACCAACAGGTTTAACAGACTTAAGTGTGAGGGTCTAATTCAAAGAAACTAATCTATAAGGACCTAATTCAAAATTAATATAAAGTATAAAGACTTCAGGATTAATTTTCCCAAAACAAAATGTCAAATGATAGATCACGGGAAAAGGAGGGATGGCGGATATAGGATTGCTCATTCCTTTCATTTTTTTCGATGGAATGAGGATTGCAAAGCAGACATAAATCTTGCAACCAAACATTTTTTGTCGCCGAATCCCCTTTCCGTTCCCGTGAATGCTATCAAATCTCTTGCACCCAAACTGTATAGATTTTGTGCGTGTGTGTGTGGGTTTTTTCTAAAAGGAATACAAGAGTAGTTAGTTTTTTACCATCAAGTTCAGTTAATTATAATTATATACTACCTTCAGTTCTATTTATAAGACCTCGTTTATAGACTACAAATAAAATCTTATTATTAGGACTATTAAGGATTTCAATTTCCTAGAATATATGTTGTATACAATTATACGAGATCTAGTTGTCGAGCCTACCACAACCTGCGAATCGTTTTTTTTTTAATTTTTGGGGGAAGGAGTCGTCTTTCTCGCTTCGTACAACCACTGTTATTAATTTCCTAGCTAGTATGTTTATTAATTATAAATCTCCAGCAAAACATTTATTTATTTATTGCCAACTAACAAAACATGTATTATATACTATATGATTATACTTCCCCATTCCGAAGGTATACCAGATGGGACAGGAATGAATGTGAGCCCACGTCGTTTGTTCAATATCAAAAAAATAAAACAAAATACAAATTTTATTTTCCAATCAGCTGATTTCCAATTAAAAAAAAATTCTGAATTATGAACATTCAATTATTAAATTCAATGGCCACGTGATTTCACATCTTTTGTGATATAAACAAGTAGTGCTTTCCAAGTGTCATATTGACGCCGCAATCTGCATTATATCAATGAAAAAACAAAGAAAAATTGTGTTGTTGTTAATTAGTCAATTCATTAGAAGTTATTAAAACAATTAATAATTAAATCATGTTTAACCCTCCAAAAAAATAATTAGAGCATAAGAATCAGGAAACATCAATAAAATGGTTAGGTTAGGTACGCAAAGAGATCAATCATATATCCCAAGAACTCAGAAACAATAATTTGTTGAAACTGAAAATAAATTTGCTTAAATTTAGAACTCGTCACCATCTAATCAAAAGTTTTCTGTTTAATTAGCACCTTAACCTCTTGATGTGCACTGATTAACAGCATTAACGAAAACTACAACTAATCTCTCCTAATGCTCTAGTTAATTAACCTTATAACCCTTTCCTCCTCCTTTCTTTCTCCTTGGCTTTCACCCTTTTCTGAAAGTTCCCTCGTCAAATTCTCCACTTTCTAATTCAACTTCACCACCATTAACACATGGTGTAGTGTCTTGATAATATATATACATCTTATATATTAATTTACGCCAACAATTTTTCTTTGAAAGCTTTCTTATTCCACAAGCAGCTTTGAAGAATTCTATTGTCAATAATTAATTCCACTTAGTTATTTGTCTTGAAGGGGTTTTGATCTCTTCAAATTCAAAGCAACATTCCAGAATGATTCCACGCGTTTTGTGAACATAGTGGTCTGCAACTCCGACTTCTTCTTCTTCTTCTTCTTCTTCTTCTTCTTCTTTTATTATTATTATTTTTGTTTTAGTCAAATCAATATAAAGGTTCAGGATTTTCATGGCTACCATGGGTTTCTGTGGCTTGAAGCCGTTGTTCCATCGGCGTAGCAAGACGTTTGCTTTCGAGGTAAGATTCTTCCTCTTTTCTTTGCTGTCCTTATCCCTTTGAGACATATGACCCACAAGAATTAGTTCACATTAATTCGGATCGAACCAGCATTTAGTGACATAGAGATAATCTTTATTTCTTTAAACCCCATTCAGATCAAACTTTTAGAGTTTGGAAAAACTGGGATTTCTGATACTTCATTGTCCTCAAACATGTGTGTCGTTATTGTTATTTTTCATGATGATATGGTGGCCGTCAATTTCAAGCTTTCACTTTCCTGGAAAACTGGAACTGTTGTATGTCGTGTCATTTGTATTATACTTTCAGCAACCAAATTATTAGCTTCAAATTCTCTCTGATATCTGCAGTATAAATTAAAGAAATTTTCGGGTAGAGAGGGATTTAAATGTTGATCAGATTTTGTGAGTGCAAGTATAATTTCATTTGCAGGCAATGAAAGGCCAAAGCACGCCCAGGAATATGAAGCCATCGAAATTTAAGAAAAAAAGAAGAGAAGAGACTATGAAGAGTTCAGTTGTGAGTGCAGACCAAAAGGTTCTCATGATGGAGCTCCAAAAGAAGATCTTGGTCTTCAGGGACATCTTGGACCTCCCTCCTTGTGATCCCTCTGCTTCATTACATGAGGTACATATGTCTGTGTGTGTACATTTATATATATATATATATATATAATACTTCTCTGGTCCTTAATATAATAACTAATTACTAAGTTAATTTTGGTCCTAAATATAAGATCTATTTCTCATATTTATGAATTTTTTCTAAATTACCCCTATGGATACTCTCTCAACCATAATCAACCAAGTGAGGGAGTGGGGATATTAAGAAAGATGATTATGGTATTTTAGAAAAAACATGTCATATTTCTTATAATTAACTAACTTATCTAACTTTTTTAATCTAATCAAATCAGTTAAATAAGTCTTATATTAAGGACCGGAGGAGTATATATTGTGCCTATATAGTTTATCTTACATGTCAAATGATATGCAGCTGGTAATTAAGACACTGGAGAATCTGCAAAGGCTTTACCCAGAGGTGATACCAGGGAATGAAGTGGCAGAGATTAAGAACAAGTTTATTGATGAGGTTTATTATTCATATATACCTAATCTATTTGAAATGTTTATATCTTAATGTGAATTTAAATCATAGCAGAATTTACTGACTTTTTTTTTTCACAGCGTCTAGCCTACTTCTGCAAGGCTTTGAAGTCTCTTGGAGAGTCATGGCTTGTGAACAATAATGATTCTATGGTCAAGTTCAACTTTGAGTTCCCTTCATGTAAAGACGGAGGCAATATGCAGCAACTAGGTATGCCTTTAATTTGCTTCAAATAAAAGTACAAAACCTAAAGAGATTGTAAATGTCATGGTTGGTTTAAACTGATGTATATAATTCGAGGACTTAATTAGTACTCTGTTTTTTTTTTGGCAGGTGAAGCTTTAATGGCGACACTGAATCAGTTGATAAAAATAATAGGGAGTGAGAAGTTTGAGGTGAAGGAAGAGGAAGAGCAGAAGAAAGAGCTGAGATACAGCTTGTCGTTTACGGATAGTAACTACTCTTTCAGCTCGCCGCCCATCACACCCACGTCGGTTCTTCCACAAGAGATCAGATATTCTTATTCCTACAGACAGAATAATCAGAATAATAATGGAGAAAGCCCGCCAAGAAGTTCATCGGCTTCATCATCTTCCTCGTCGTCATCACTTCTCTGGTCTCTCAGGCTTGAAGCTCTGGGAAAGTTGAGTCCTCTTGATATCAAGCGCTTATCCTTCCACATGCCACAACCTGACACAGCACAAGAGAAATTATCAAAAGCTGAGGAGGATGATAAGAATAATGATAATATGGAAGTGGATGGTAAATTTGAAAAGGACAATTCAGAGGATCTTGTTTTTCATATGGATGCATCGGAGGAATCTGTTTCTGATACTCCAAATGATCATACAATGTCTGAAACACATCTTCCAATTAGCCATTCACCTTCATCACCTCCTCCTCCGCCGCCACCCCCACCATCACTGCCTCAATTGCAGCAAAATGCAGTAGTCGTGGAAGCACCACTGCCGCCTCCTCCTCCGTCGCGACCCCAGTTGCAGCAAAATGCGACGGTAGTAGGCCCAAGACCGCCGCAGCCACCTCCTCCTCCGCCATCCGCACCTAGCTTGCAGCAAAATGCAGCAACGACCAATTCTCCGCCGCCACCTCCGCCTCCCCTTCCTCTGCGGCCAGGTTCAGCTCCACCACCCCCTCCACCCGTGCTCCCACCAGGAGGCGGAGTTCCGGCCCCTCCACCTCTGACGCCACCAGGAAATGGAGGCACCCCTCCGCCGCCGCCTCCAGGTGGCGCAGGCAGGTGCCTTCGTCCCAAAGTGACAACCAAGTTGAAAAGATCGTCCCACATAGGCAATCTGTATCGAACTCTCAAGGGAAAAGTGGAAGGATCGAGCTTGAATGCCAAATCATGTGGTGAGAGAAGGAGTCCGATTGGGCAAAGCACCGCCGCCGGAGGAAAACAAGGCATGGCCCAAGCTCTTGCAGAGATGACCAGAAGGTATCTTATTTTTGACTTTCACGTACGAGTTTTACCTTGTAGTCAAGATAGATTTTCATAGAGCTTTACATATTAAAGGAAATATATGTATCTAACCTCTTTACTATTCTGATTAGATCATCTTACTTCCAACAAATAGAGGAAGACGTTAAGAAGTACTCAAAACAAATCACAGAGATGAGATCTTCAATATCTAACTTCAAGACGAACGATATGACAGAGTTGGTCAATTTCCACAAAGTTATTGAATCTGTACTTGAGAATCTAACAGATGAATCACAGGTCAGTTCAGTATGATCCAATATTAGTGTTATATTTTAGTTCTTTTATGACTATCTATGAGGATGGTGAAAGAATTTTAATGGCCGTGTAGGTGTTGTCACGATTTGAAGGTTTCCCCACGAAGAAGTTGGAAGCTATAAGAATGGCAGCCGCGCTATACAATAAGTTATATTCAATAGTGTCAGAGCTTCAAAATTGGAACATAGTGCTTCCCTCGGATCAGTTTCTGGACAAGGTTGAACGTTATTTCAACAAGGTGATTCCTCGAGCTAATAAACTAAATACAACAATACAATACACATAGAGGTGATGTTAACACATTAAAGTGCATAATAACATGCAGATAAAGACAGAAGTGGATGCATTGGATCGAACCAAAGAAGAAGAGTGCAAGAAATTTAAGAGTCATAACATCGAATTCGACTTCACCATTCTCATAAAAATCAAGGAAGCAATGGTGGATGTTTCCTCCAACTGCATGGAGTTAGTGTTAAAGGTAGGTGTGTGTGTGTGTATTTATTCTTCATCACAACAGCTTCCTCTGATGTGTTATATGAACAGTTTTATCATACACACATATATAATCTTAGCCTTTATAACATGAACAGGAGAGGCGCGAAGATTCAGGATCAAAGGGTAAAAATGGGAATGCAAGAATGTTATGGAGGGCTTTTCAGTTCGTATTTAGGGTTTACACTTTTGCTGGTGGGCAAGATGACCGAGCAGACAAGCTTACGAGAGAACTAGCTCGAGAAATAGAAAGCAATCCCATCAACGCATGATTTTATTTATTGCAAGCCTTCATTTAAACTCAATTTAGTAAACAGACTTTCTAAGATAAAGAATATATCTTCTATATATACTTGATACACACAAACACACACACAGGCACACTGTGCTATATTATATTATAAGACTAAACAGCAAGTTGGTGATGAGGTTAATTGTTGCAGCAATATATGCGCACCCATCATCACAGAATCCCTTTTTCCATTGTAGTTTTTGAGGGAGATTTATTAATAATTAATTGTGATTTAGATTACAAAATTGCAATAACCTCATGTGTACCGGAAGCACGAAGCTAAACCTGCAGCTTCTCTTCTTAATTATGTTTGATCCATTTATTGATAATAATGATTTTATCTCTTTGTTTAAGGTCTGCTCGATCGTCCAGTATTTTATGTTAGTAGTACTTTTTCGATGCTAAATATATTGCTAACAAAATGAATCCAAGTACTATAGAGCTGGCATATGGGAGGAGAAATATAGTACCACCTCTAGTTTTAATATAAGAGTTAATTGACTAATTTAAGTATATTAAAAAAGTTTGTTAAGTTAGTTATTTATCATAAATAGGTTGTCTTCCTCAAAATACCTTTATTAATCATGTATATTAGCTAAAATTATTATTTGATAGAATATTTAATATGTGCAACTATAACAGGGACTATTTTGAAATAAACGATTAAGACTAAAGTACACATTTAGTCTTTAACTTTATATAAGATTTTACTTTGGTCTTTTAACTTTAAAATACTTTTAGTCCTAACCCTAAAATTGTTAGTCTTAAATGATTTTTTTTTTAACAATCATGATTATTTTGAATATTAAACTTAATATATTAGCATTTAGTAATGTTTTATTAGCATTCAAGAGCTCAATATCATCATTTTTTGTTAACAATTTTAAAATTAGATGGCTAAAAGTTTAATTTTTAAAGTTAAAGGACCAAAATAAAATTTTATGCAAAGCTAAAGAACTAAAAGTGTACTTTAGCTAATGATTAAATTGAGAGACAAAATGAATTAGAGTCTTATATTTAGAATCTTGAATATCAAATTAGTTTTTATATTAAGCATTGAACGTAACACTTAAAAGGATTGAATTTGCGACACGCAGTGTTTTGCAGAGGTCGATCAACTTGTTACTTCTTTTCTCTCTCTTTTTTTTTGTGTGCCTAAATTTGCCCCCAGCATTATAATATCGATTGGCGTATTTCATTTTACTTCTTCTCGATTGCATATATACGCAAGAGTCAAGTTGGAATAAATAAATGATTAGTTCCCCCGAATTTCACAATATATGAGTGTGTGTGCACGTGCATGCTAGCTAGCTAACTAGCTTGTGATGATGACGTAATTGTGAAGGGTTTCATATACGTTGACCAATTATAAAAACAGATGAATTTAACGAATTGACATAATTACCCTTTCTCTCAATGAAATTGCTTAAAGTAATCGCATTACCTAAATTCCAAATTCTCATATCTCAAAATGTCAAATAATTTAGGAAAGGAATTGTCAGATCCCTACACCGAGACTTACGGGGTAAACAAGTGTTTTTTTTTTTTTTAAAGAACTCTTTCATGTTAAAATATCAAACATGAGCTATAAATTTATCATATCTCATCGTCAAATTCTGGGAGATAACTGGGAATCACTGCACCCAGACTCGTTTGCTGAATATCATAGTTTTTGAAATCTTCTCCCCCATTAAATTATGAAACATGTATGAGCTGCAAATTACCATATCTCTAAGTTAAAATTTAAAAGATAATTGTGATGAGATCCCACAGCTAGACACATTATCCATATATCAACATTTGGAAGGATACGTATTGAACAATTATATTATCTCTGGCTGGTACATAATCAGGACATTGACGATCATAGCATTATATATTAACACAATAACTCCACCACATAACTAGAATTATTACCTCCTCTGTGCAAGGATAGTCATAGAATAGTATAGACCGAACATTATATTACTATTACACACCCTTATTTAATAATGAGACATGATAATTAATAAATTAGCGCTAAGATTTGTTCAATTCATTCATTCAGATACTCAATTCTGATACGTTCAATGGTAACGCGTCCATCCCCAGTCTGAGGCACGAGAGTGACGACCACGCTCCTGTCGTCATCAGCACCCAAATCCCGCAGCAACTCTGTAATCCCAAATCTCATATTAGTCTTCATCGTCAGCTTCTTGTGATGACGTGGCACGCTCACAAAACTTCCCGCCAACTCGGTTGTCGTGGGCCCACCGGGCCCGCTGAATTCACCTTCCCGGTGCACATACACATCAAACTTCACTGGGGAATCCCTCGAAGAAAACTCAATACCTTCAAGCACTAACACCTCCTCCGTCATTTCCTTCTTCTTCTTCTCCTCTCTTTCCACTACAGTACTCAGGGATAAGGGTAAAACCAGAGGGAACTGTACCTTAGCCCCATCGAATTTGTTCCCTAACTTTTTCATAAACTTGCTTTTGAAAGGTGAGGGCTTGGCTTCTTTCCATGGGATTTCAACATCTTGGTACATGTAGCCTAGCTTTCTGGTATCGAGGCAATCCTTGATTTTCACGCGTACGAGGTCCTTGTTCTCGTCGTAGAATAAGAACCCAGATTCCAACCAGTCTGGGTCTGTGATGTCCCGTCTCTTTCCACCCGGCAAAGTCTTCCAGATCTCCCACATTCGATCCACGTTGGCATGATGGGAATAGAAGATGGGGTCTCTTGCGGCGGTATTGAAGATTCCCATATCCTCACCGTGCGGCTGGCGGTTATCGCCGGTCCAGTCGTGCATCGTGTTGTGAGGAACGAGCTCTAAGGTGCCGCCCCCGTCGGGATCGCTATCTCCGGCCCGGTAAGCCGTTCCAAAGAATAAAGAAGGAAGCTTGGAACCGCTCACCATTTGCTTGTACATTGTTTTGAGATTTACATCCACTTGATCATCCCAACTTCTCTGCGTAAATTGAAAGTTAAAAAAAAAAAAAAATTGATGCGTGGATTGTAAATTTGTGCAATTCAAGAGAACCAAAGTCATACCTGGCGTTCACAGCCATTGAAGAGAAAATCCACAGGTGTTGGCGGTTGATGATTGGTGCTTCTGAGAGAGTCGTAAAGAGAGAGTGAGGATCCGTATATATCTCCGGAATCATCATGCCTGCTGGCGCATCCCAGTTCCAAAACGGGAGAGCAAAACTAGGGTCATTGATCAAGCTGGACAATATTCTCTCGTGGAAATAGAGGAACCAACGATGGAAGGGAAAGAAGAGCCAAGAACCGTGGATTTGAATGTCCAGATCAGGAAACCCTACTTGGTGATAAGCACCATCACAATAAGCACAGTGAACATTTGCTTGTTGAATGAAGTTACGAGGATCATCTAGTGGAAGAGCTTTCATGCGACGAACGGCTTCTTCGTATTTCTCTTTATAGCCTTCATCAACTAAATGAGCAGCTGGTCGGATCTTAAGCTTATAAACTGATGGAAATTCGAAGTCTTTTATGTATGGAGATGGTGGGAGGCAACAGTTGGTCCGCGTAGCACTGCTGAGGACCTCCGGCGATCCACACTCTGTGAGGTCCGGCGGCAGGATCGGCTTGGCGAAGGCGAATGGGTCATTCTGGTGAAGAGAACCGCAAAGGCCACCTAGACCTATGAGGAGGTTTCTTCTGGAAAGATCAGGGACTGCCTGGGAGTGATGGGTTTTAGGGTTTTTGGGGTTGAAGTCATCATCATCATTTGTGGCTTTGCACGCCACTAATTTGATGGCTTTAGGTTTGTTGAATTTGAAGAAGGGACGGGCTGAGAGAAAGGAAGGGTACTGTAAAGAAGCCATGAATATCCCTCAAGAGCTTTCTTACTTCCAATTGTGTGTTCTTGAAAGGAAACAATCGAACTAAATATTCATGGCCGATCCCGTCTTTATCAACTTATTGACTTGTTTCATCATGTCAATGAAACCTTTGCTTTTAAAATAACGTTGAGTTCTTCCCATGATGAAGCATTAGCTGTACTTTTTTATGTTAAATATTCCAGAAATATGGTACTCCTTCGATTCTAAATATAATACTCATTTTGTAGTACAATTTGTACTACAAAATGAGTCTTATATTTAGACTATATATTTATTACATAATCCTAATAGAGTTGAAGTGGCAGTCACATGCATTTGAGGAGAAATAAGATATAAATAGATTCATAGAAGTACTCCCTCCAATCTATAATATATTATAAGAAGTTCGGTTGACTTTTTTCACATATCAATAAATAGAAATTTAGTCATTAAATATATCCTAAAATGATAAAATTGTCCTATTTAGCCCTAAGAAATCATAAGATTGCTTAATGTTACAATTTTATTATCTCCCACATCTCTCTCCTATATTTAATATGGGCAAAAGTAAAAAAAATTACACTAATGATTCTGACAAAGTCTTATATTTTGGAATATAATTTTATCCTCGCTGACTTCTTATATTATAAATGGGAGAGAGTATATAATAAATCTATTCATCAAGAAATAAAGAGGGTTGACAAACTAAAACACTTAAAAATTCAGTATTTTGAATGTAACGTATGTAAGCACAAAATTAAAGCGTCATAAAATATAGTACTACCACGTAATTGCAAACTTTTACATCTATTAAGAACTAAAAATATATGATCACCCCATTATATATCAACATAAAATAATTAATTACACCATATATATAACTAAATTTTTTCCTCAGTGCAGGGATAATAGAAAATTACACGCTCAACGAGACATATACAATTTTTTTTGGGTGAATAACGAGACATATATAATTTAATAAAGTGGCAGTAAGATTCATTGAAAGAAGTAATATATATACATAATGATTGAAAAGTTTTACTGATATTTTCTTTTCATGGAAAATTCTTTCAATGCTAATTTTTTCCGGTCCGGTTTCTCTCCTATATTCTTCCCCTACTCTACTCCTACTTTTCCTTTCACCATAATCGGATTAAAATTTCAATGATTCAAATTTAACATTATTTAAAATATTATTATTTTATTTAAAAATATATAATAAATTTTAATTGCTAAAATTTAACATGAAAAGCTCACACTTTAGATTGTTATTATAAACTAGATTTTC